GCTATCCCTAAAAAACTTTTTTTTTTTTTTGCCCCAGATTCCCAAGTGGCCCCCTCAAGGATTGAACTCACAACCCTGGGTTTAGCAGGCCAATGCTCAAACCACTGAGCTATCCCTCCCCCCCAAAACAGGACCAATCCCCAGACAGAGTTTTGCTCTAGATCCCTAAATGGCCTCCTCAAGGATTGAATGCATAACCCTGGGTTTAGCAGGCCACTGCTTTCACCACTGAGCTATCCCTAAAAAACTTTTTTTTTTTTTTGCCCCAGATTCCCAAGTGGCCCCCTCAAGGATTGAACTCACAACCCTGGGTTTAGCAGGCCACTGCTTTCACCACTGAGCTATCCCTAAAAAACTTTTTTTTTTTTGCCCCCAGATTCCCAAGTGGCCCCCTCAAGGATTGAACTCACAACCCTGGGTTTAGCAGGCCAATGCTCAAACCACTGAGCTATCCCTCCCCCCTAATGGACCTTTGGTCTGACTCAATGTGGCCATTCTTATGTTCTTAGGGGTTCTTGTGATTATTTTGAAGTTGTAAAAATAGGTAACGCCCAAACAACTTCACCTCCCCATAAAACTGGGTGGGAGGGGAATATTACATTCCCTTAGAAATGTTATGTACCTTTTAAAAAAATAGCACATCCGACAACTGTGTTGTATTTGTATACAACGTGTGTAGGGAGGCGTATCTAGGTATGGTAAAAAGTACTAAACACCAAACATGCAAGAGAAAAAGTAGGTTGTTACTTAGAAATTCTATGAAATGTTGAATAACTCTCAGTTGTTCGCTGAACATACACTGATATTTTGTTCTCAGTAAAAAAGCATGATTGTGGTCAGAAACGTGATCCGTGAAAAAGGCACCTTTCTTACCCAATAGAGCAGTGATCCAGCTTTGTATAGTCACAGTCCTTCCTATCTGCTTGCCTTACTGACCAAGACAAAATTCTGCTCTCAGTTATACGTGTACCACCTTCATAGAAATCAAAGGCACTTACACAAGCAGAACTAAGGATATAATTTAGAGCTATGGAAGAGGGAATTCAATTCTATTCTGGCTGAGGTATTAACTGTAAATTAAATTTTAACTGCAGAATCTTTACTACTGATGACGCATAAGGAGAAAGGACCCAGCTTGGTTTTAGATCTCAAGTGGAGTTTTCAGGACTAGCAGTTTAGGGAAAAAACCCAAAAATATACTTTCACTTGGGGCTTGTCTACACTGCAAAGTTGTCAACAAAACTTTCACGGGTACTTAAAAAAGCCCCCCTGTGAAAGACAAAAGTTTTGCCAACGCAAGTGGCAGTGTGAATGCGGCTTTGTCGGCAGAAGCGCTCTCCTGCTGACAAAGCTAACGCCACTCACGGGTCTGGAAGTATTTTGTCAGCCTTCACAAGCCAAGCTCTGGATGTGACATAGCAGAGCCCAGCCTCAGATAGTATTTCAGGAGTGCCCCAGAGTCTCTTCTTTTGATTCTTTATTTGCTTTTCATTATAAAACTCTCAAAACTGTTAAACACCCAAGTGGCTTATTTTGCTTGTTTACAGGTAGCCTGAGAAGAGCGTGATCTATAGGGAGGAGAATTAGAGGCATCCCTTTGTCTCATTTGTAACGCTAGCACTTCATCCTGAAATAGAGTGTATTGGGGTAATAATGAAAGATAGTGAATAGCGTGAACAATTGAGGAAGGGCTGATGGTGATGAAGCCCCAGCTTGGCCCTAATTCAGAGATTAATCACACTAGAGAACCCTTATAGATGTGGATGTATTTTCCACTTCTGACACACAAGAGGAGGATTGAGGAAGGCTTTAAGGAATACAGAGGATCTCTGTTGGGCAGACAGTCTCAGTAGTTAACAAGTATTCATGTGCGACCGTCACCCTCGAACATCCATTTCTGGGGACAGCAGTAATAAATGAATGTTTAACATTTGGCTACTGAGGTATCTATGGTGAAGCTACTTGTATATCCTACACTGAACGCTATTTACAACAAGCTTTCCTTCAGAGAGAGTGGGCAGATCAATTTCATAATTATTGGCTTTAGGAGCTTTAGACATTTTTGAGATGGACTTTACCGCAGAGTTTTTCCTTTGAAATTCAGGATTATTATATAGTTCAGCTTTATGCAAAGCCTTTCTCCATGAACTGCTTTGCATGACACACACATCAAATAATAGATAAGCATGCATTTTTGTCCCTCTCTAGTGGCTGGACCATGTAAGACGTCTGTAAGTCTGCTATTGCCTTCAAGCTAATGGACCTTTAACTCAGATAGTACAGCCACATGCTTTCAGATCCAGAGATCCTGCATTCAAACCACACAGATAACCCATATACTCTCTCTCTCTCACACACACACACACAAATTATATTCCTGAACTAAAACACACATGCATATATATATTTTAAATGTAGACACATACCCTTGGGTCAATCACCAAGTAGGTTTTGATGTTCATTGCTTCAAGGTATGGGTCTCTCAGGTGTCCATTCCCTTCTTCCACTTCGTAAGCTTTGCCTAGGTGATTTAGCGTTGCTTCAGTGATGTGTACACGACTAGAGTGGGGAAAAGGAACAAAAGGCCTAAACATTTACGGAAAGGTCAGTTTAAGCAACTCATTTACATTTCAATGGCCCCCGTTGACATTTCTGTGCTTTTCAACAGCTTTGGCAGACGACTCCAGGATCCTGCCAGCAGTTCAAACAGCATTGCTTATTTGTGATCCTTCACAGTACATTATACAATACAACTTTATTTGTGTTGCGTCTTTCATACCATGCATATCCCAAAACACTTCCTAGTACTAAGTAATACATGAAAGTAAATAGCAGAGGGATAGAGAAATTAAGAGGTGCAGGCAAGGGTAGAAGAAATATCGTCAATGAAGATTTGGTGACTGACAAGGCAAAGAGACAGAGGAAGGTTGTTCCAGATGACAGGAGCTTCAGAGAATGCTCTCTCTCTCTCACCCTCCCCCCCCCACCACACACACAAGTTAAATTGTGTGGAGGGATGAGTCCTGTGCTAGACAGGCAGAGGGAATATCAGCAAAGTGGGCTGGAGCAAATCCATGGAAGGTTTAACAACAAGGAGGGCAAGTCTGAGCATGTATATTTTTCTGGAGAGAGCAATCAGAAGCCCAGCAGCAACAGTGCAGGTCTCTGAACAGGATCTGCTAATACTCCCATGCATTCATTCTGATCACATGAGCCTTGTCTTGAATATTTTGTTGCACTAGGTAATCACAAGGAATCAGGTGTTTGTGCAACCCCTTTCTATAGAATTGCTCAATAAAAGACATTCTGAATAATTAAATGTGTTAATATAATAAAATAACAATAACGATCCTTTCACTTACATGCGTCTCTGTAGCTATAGATTTACCCTATTTTATAGATGGAGTAATTTAGGCAGAAAGAGGTTAAATAATCTGCCCAAGGTCACACACTCACTCAACTACAGAGGTGGGAAGAGAACCCAGTCACTGACTTTAAAATGGAATTTGTGAGAGGGTTCGGATGGCTCACCTGATTACAGCAAGAAATAGATTAATGGCAGGTCCCCACTCCCTTTCCCTGCACATGTGCTCAATGGAAGGGTCGGAGACTGCTGACCAATCAGATTTCCCAGGAGGAAAGGTAGCTCTTTGGGAGTCAATAGGTGCCTTGGAGCAGGGAGGGCTGAGCCCCCGTCCTGGCTGCACTTAGCCCCACAGCAACTGGAGATGTTTCTGTTTTGTTTACTGGCAACTGGCCTATGAGTCTATTTTGTTGCAATTCTTACCCCAGCTTTAACCAGCCTAAGAGGACTTTCTTGAAATTTTGAAAATTGAAATTTTATAAGATGCGACTGGACAAAAATAATAATGATTTAGAGCAACTGTAAAATGCTACGTGACACCCCAAAATTAACCAGGGCTTATTTAGAGACAGTCTCTCATTCAGCTAATTCTTTAGGGATTTCCAATATACTAGAACCATTCAAATGCAACCTCTGTTAGACAGTATCTTGATTCAAGAGTTTACTCAGCTGCATATTATGATTAACAGCAAAAGATGCTTTTTTTAAGCCTACACAATAAATGCAGCACACTTCGGACCTTGATGCAAGCATGTCTTCTCTCCTTCACTTAAACTCCCATTGTAGAGTAAAGGTCAGTACCATAAAGGATATATTGTTTATAAGATTACAATCATCAGGTCACAACAAGAGCTGGTCATAAAAAAAGGTTTTCTAAATATTTAGAAACAAGAAAGGAAATATTTTGACAATTTCTGAAATGATTAAATGAGCTTTATTTGCTCATGGACATTACTTGCGCCTCACTGAAAAAAGGGACAGGTATAGAATGCCAACTGCTGCTTCAATGCCATTTTTGGTCATTTCTAGAAGAGGGTAAATATACTGTCCCCTCCTCACTCAGCCTTGAAGGCAGAGGCTACTCACAGTAAGGTTTGCAGGGCTGGGCATAAACTAGTAAATGTTGCTTAAGTCAGCCTGTTCTTCAGATGAACAAAACAAGCTATTAGGTGAAATTACAAGAAGAGTGACATTTCAAAGGTCACATGCAGAAATGGCCATCAGTAACCAGCTCAGCGACACCAAATGCTTTTAAAAAATTATTCAGCAGCACAGAAAAGAAGTGAGGTCACATTACTATGGTACAAATAACTCTGCTCTAGGTCAGAAGCTCAGCCATTTTTCTATGGAAAGATATTTGGGTGCACATAAATAAAATTTCACCAGTATACTAAAAACCAGTAAACTAAAAACTGAATACACCTGCAGATTATTTGCAATGTCTATTACACTGTAGTGAGAAAAAAATCAGATGGCAAAACAAAAAAGAAACACCACACCTTATAGTAAAATGAGCAAACATGGTCAGTTTTGCATATAATTCTGTTATAGTGTGGGGTTTTCCACCGTGCTCAGTGTCTGCCTAACTGCTCCCAATGAAATAAAACTTCCATTGACTGCAGTGACAGCAACCTTAGCCAACACTGTGTGCTTATGGGAATCTCACCCACGCTGTATTTTCTTCACAGGAGCTGTGTAACAAGCAGCCTCCCTGTGAGGCCACACCATAACCCCTGTGACACAAAATGTCCCCTTCAGCCAAGCAGTGTAAATTTTGAACCCGATGACGACCCAGTGCTAGGCAGTGTAGAAAGTGCAGTATTACACGATGCTATTTCAGCACAACCAGGCCAACCTAAACCAGTCATAATATTAAACAGAGAGTTAAGCATAAGCATGTAGAAGGGAACAGAGCCATCAAAGCTTTATAATGTGGTTATGGTCCTAAAACTGATTGTGAAAATGCACCTTCTGATTCCCTCACTGTATTCAGAGTCATGCTAGCTTGCATCACAGGCAAAAAAACAAAAACAAAAAAAACACTTTACAATTCTGTACTCCTGTTAGCATTGCAGAGTCAACCCAGCACATGAGCAGTGTGCTCGATTCTTCTGTGGCTGGCAAGTCACCACCACAACTGGTAACCGATCTGTAGTCACTCAGGCAGGTGGTAACAAGGAACCACCCCTCAAGACCGAGCTGAGCTTTAAGGGTTTAAATGGCAATCGTAGATTTATATAATTGCCACTCCACAAAACATTGTTAGATTTGCACAGGCTATGAAAGTCCCCAGAAAATTACAGAATCATTTGGGGTGGAAGAGGGAACAGATAGAATCAACTTCCTTGGTCCTGTACAGGCTGGGGGAAAAAAACAAGTTTCTTCGCTAAATCCTGTCCACAGAGCTCTCTCTTTCTCTCTCTCTGAAAGCAGCATCTATAAAATATCATGGTGTGAGATAGCGCTGTAAATTACAAAACTAAAATCCCATGAGTGTATCTCTAGATTACACATGAGCATCTGACTCAAGGTAATAAAACTGCTGTTCTAATCCATTTTAGACAAAGTTCGCATCATTCATTGGCTAGGACACTGGCTGAGAGCCAGGAGACCAGGCTTTCATTTCTAGCCCTGCCACTCACCTGCTGTGTAGTTTGGACAGGTCACTGCACTTCCTCATGCCTTTGTTCCCTCCTCAGTATTGGTTTATCTGTTTAGACTTTAAACTCTTTTGGGCAGAGCATGTCTCTTACTACACGTACGTACAGAGCCCAGCACAAAGGGGTCCTGCCCTCAGTTGGGGCATTTAGGTACTACTGTAATTCAAATAGTTAATAACACGAGTGTGTGCAAGCCCAGGACATCTTTATTCGTTTTGTTTTTTTATTTTTTAAAACAGAATTTCGGGTATTTTATATTCACAATTTCAAATATTACATATACTGCAACACAGAAAAAACACTAAGTTGCTATTCTTTCTCAGTTTTCCCACTATAAAAATATATAAACATGCTTACTGCCTTCCTTTGTAAAGTGCTATTATTATTATTAATATAGACAAATTACACACAAACATATTGTTTATACATCATAAGGCTGCATTTTTATCTTGGTTTTCTGGATCTCTCTCTAAATAAATGTATCACTCACACTTGATTTAAATCATCAGTAGAAACACTAAGTAAGTATACAGCCTTGTATTGCCTACGGAAGCTGTGTATGTGTTTTCATCTAAATTTACAAATACAGATACAATATATCTTTATGTACAACTTGAATCAAGTCAGTCAGCATATAATAAAACAGTTTCAGAGATGCAAGGAAGGTCAAGAGCTATATAAGAAGCATTCACTCACATAAGATCAGAGTTCTATGGATCAGGTGAGAAATTATCAAGAGAGAAACATTTTTCACAGTAGAAGTAGAAGACATTTTTACCCATTTCAAACCTTCATTGATTAAAATAAGTGCAGCAGCACAGTTTTGGATTCCAGGCCCAACACAATATAAAGAAATATTGAAATAATATAAAAACTATCATTGTGGAACTGAAAAAGGAGCCAAAACAAATGTTCTTACCCAGGTATTCCTGAGGATTCCATACGATTAGCTAAGGAAACATCATGAGACCACACATCATACTGCCATTTCCGAAGTCCAATCACGCCACAAAGCACATTCCCAGAATGGATACCAACTCTCATACTGATGTCCACTCCAGTGGCTTCTTTTACTTGTCTTAGGGGGGAAGGGGAAGAGGGGAGAAAAATCAGAAGATAAGCTATCTGCCCCACATATATACATTACTTACTAAGGTTCGATTTCCTCTACTCACTAAAAAGCAGATGTGAAACTTAGAATTGCTGAAGACAGGAGGGGAAAAAAATGTAGTGATTTATTACAAGTATCCAAAGATTTTATATTCCTCTGATTTGTGCATCTGAAGCTTTTCTAATTTTATTGCATCGAATAATACCGTTACTATGGTCTCCCAAATAAAAAAGTAGACAAATTGATTCTCAGCTCACGGCACAGCGATTCAGAGCAGCAATTAAGATTAGAATACACACAAGGCTCAGTTCATAATGAAAAGAAATATGAATTTAGGATGGGACTGTCAAAGCCATAGGAAGTGGTCTAACTCTGCTCCTACTGAAGTCAATGGGTACAAAGTTAGGCCAACTTTTGGCTCTCTCTTGGCACTGTCGTAGCTAAAATATACAAGAAAGGAGAATTAAATCCTAGGAACTTAAATGTAATTTACATACAAACAAACCATTTTTGTGTTATTTGGATGCTAGGCTGCTGCTAGAGTTTAAATGTTGTGAAGTGTTCTTAAATACATGTCCTTTCCATTCGTGCTGGGGTTAATAGAGGTTGTAGGTGGTCTCATGGCAGTATTTGAAAGAGTTGGCAATAACTTCAGTTGTCCTAGCCAACTTTATTCTCTTTAATATAAGCAACAACATAGCTTAATTACCTTCACCACTGAAATTTAAGCTTGAACATGAGATGATGCTGGAACGTAATAAGCAGTCCATTTATTCACACTGTGTAACCTTAGAATGAAACATTACAGAATCCCACATTATTGTGGGGATGGAACAATACCTTTGCATTATCACCTTGACACCTGACCTTGCACTCCTTGTGCTTCCAAATCTGCATTCCTTCTGCACACAAGGAATGCAAGACTAGGCCTGGTACACTACCCTCTTCTCCTCCTCAATACATTTTGTGTTCTAAGCCATAGAAATAATAAAAGGGGGGGGTGACTGCCCCTAGATATGTGGAAACAACCTTTTTTAAACAAAAAAAAAAAGAGGGGGGCTTGTCTACACAGCACTGTCAAAGTGCATTAGACGGGTGTGATTTGTAGAGCACAACACATCAGAGTGCTTTAACTGCCCTGTGTAGATTCTGCTGGCATGCTCTAAACGGTGTCTAGTTCATGTTAACGTAGACCCTCCAGCAGGGTCTACATGGGGCAGTTTAAGCACAACACGTCAGAGTGCTTTATAAATTACACCCCTCTGATGCACTATACTGCACCAGGCAGGCGAGCCCAAAGGAATACTAACACCATCAAGCAGACTTCGTGATTTTTGATTTTATGGATTTATGATAAAACATGTATAACTAAAAATAATAAATTGGCCTCAAAGTATTTCATTCAGCATTTTATTCTCTTCTGATTTCATCTCCTTCCTACATAAGCCATGGAGACCCATGATGTTCTGCTCTCATAATACATAGTTTATTCATAGACAAGAGGCTGGAGCCATTCTGACGTGACACATGCAAAATGAAACAGCATAAGTGATACAATAGTTAGTGAATGCATTCTAGACTTTCCACACAAAAGACTAAGAATGATCTTTCCAATGGCTTCATGACCTTTTTAAAAAATTAAAAAAAATCCCAGCCCTACATTTTTAAGGTGCTTGTTTATTTTCTGAGTGTCTATAGGTTAAAGAGCCCTTTTTACTCAGTACATACTTTATAGCTTCACACATGTCGAGTCCCATTTTCACACAGTTCTGGGCATGAACCGGTAAAGACACAGGTAGGCCTGAGACACAGTAATAACAGTCTCCCAAAATTTTTATTCTCATGCATTCATTTTCCTGCAAAATAAGGAGAAAGAAACATAACAGGAAAAAAAGCACTGCTTATATTCATCAGTACGTATCCAGAGTACATACACAGGAGACATCACTTGTTAATGTCATTTTGAGAAAAGTTAGGCCCCATTTAATCCTGGTTGAAGCAACAAAACAATTTCCCTCCTTTTACATTCAAAACTCAAAAGGATTTGTTAGTGATGTTTCTTGTTACCTGCTTAATTCCTGAGTGTTACTGAAACCAAAAATAAAATTAAAACCAGAAAGAAGTCAGCGAGATGGCTTTATTACTTATGGGGCTACTCCAATTACGTAGTCCTGCATAATTGTCATGGAATTTACCACCAGAGGGACAAAATCTGCTTGTCTGCCATTTTACAATAGTTTTTCATAAATTGGAAGCCAACAATAAATTACTTGCCCTGACTGAAGCATTTTGCAAGGCTGCTCTAGTGGATAAAGCACTGTGTGTTGTCACCGGACCTGCCAAGGCTTGGGGAAGGAACCAGGGCTCTGGATATTCAGCCCAACAGTTTACTGAGGATGTTTTCAGTTGCCTGAAGAGAGAGGCCAGCATGAACCACAATTTTGATACTTCTAGCAATAGAGCAGCAATGCAATTTCACAAGAGAATGCCCGCCTGCCAACTGCAGGATGGAAACTACTCCCTATTATTGGGCCTGGAAGGGCAAAGGTGATTAAATGTGATGTCTTGCTCTAAGACATTTATTTAGGCTAAATACTTTCAATCAATGTCTTGGGAAAGCGAAGGCAAAGGCTGTCCTGTAAGATTAGAACACCCATCGTACTCAAACATCTTCTCACTATAGCCATGACAGCTGCTAAGCACCTATGTACCAGCTCTATTTATAGGGGAAGTGTGGTCTTACAGTTAAAGTGCTGGACTGAGACTCAAAAGGCTTTGGTTCAATTCCCAGTTATCCCATTTACTTGCTTACTATAGGACTTTGAGGAAGTCACCTAATCTCTCTCTCTCTCTCTCTGTTTCACTTCTGTAAAATGAGAGTGTTATTACTTCCTTATCTTTGCCTGGTTTGATTCAACTCCCAGAGTCTTTTCAAACCCCACTTTCAGAGTAATTTCTTTACTCTACCCTATGGCAGCTATGCCTCTCTCAAATAAAATAATCTAAATGTAACCCAAATCTATCACCGTTTTCTTTTGCTCAATCATTTTTCTCAAAGCATAACCTTTGCATAGATGGGGTGAAATAGTCACAACAAAATTAAGGCAGCTCAAATTTTTGCTTCAAAAATATCAAAACTTGATTTGGGAATGTTTGTGCAGCCATATTACTGGTCTCACAAAATACCACAAAAACATCAGGGTGATTTACTGTGTTAAATGCAAACAGGCAAAACAACATTGGGGAAAGTTTAATTAAAACATTTCCACAATTTTGTGAAGTCCAAAATATGTATGTATTCAGCTGAGCCTTCATATTGACAAAAAGAACAGGAGTGCTTGTGTCACCTCAGAGACTAACAAATTTATTTCAGCATAAGCTTTCGTGGGCTACAGCCCACTTCTTCAGATGCAACACTGTAGCCCACGAAAGCTTATGCTGAAATAAATGTGTTAGTCTCTAAGGGCTTGTCTATACTTACCGCGCTGGTTCGGCGGCAGGCAATCGAACTTCTGGGTTCGATTTATCGCGTCTTGTCTGGACGCGATAAATCGAACTCAGAAGTGCTCCCCGTCGACTCCGGTAATCCTGCTCGCCGCGAGGAGTACGCGGAGTCGACGGGGGAGCCTGCCTGCCGGGTGTGGACCGCGGTAAGTTCGAAGTAAGGTACGTCGACTTCAGCTACGTTATTCACATAGCTGAAGTTGCGTACCTTACTTCGATTTGGGGGTTTAGTGTAGACCAAGCCTAAGGTGCCACAAGGACTCCTGTTCTTTTTGCGGATACAGACTAACACGGCTGCTACTTTGAAAGCTTTCATATTGACAGATGCTAATCACAGGACATAAGGTAACCTATAAAATATATTAATAAATCAGATGTAGAGTATTTTGAGATTATTTTTATGAAATATTATACAAAAATAAATAATACTGTTTTATAAAGGCAATTCAGATGTTACTTTTTCTCAACCTAAAGAACTGTTACAAGCAATGTCCATAGTTATCCTTTCAATTCATTTTCATTACAAAAATCTATTTTTATTGTACTTATTTTCATCCTGTGGCATAAAAAACCCATGCAACTGAAGTAACAGTTATATCAAGCCATGTGTTCATAAGCCATGTGTCATACAAAAATATAGCTCTAATAAGGAGGTTAGTATGACTCTCTTATTCTCCAGAGCTTGCAAAGCCGTAATTACAACTCAACTCCTAGAAATACTATACGAACAATTAGAAGTGTGGGAAAAGATAATTTATTATTTACAAGGCTTTAATGTATGCTATTTTAGCACAAGGGATACAGTACATTCAACAATCTAATTTGCCCACATCCATCAAGATTTAGTTTAATAACTTTGTTAAGGATAATTGTCTCTTTCAATTATTTAGAGCATAATTACACAATACTTTAACAGCAGCATAATCCCCTATTCTAGAATTTACAACTTCTCCTGCTTACTTCCCGAAAAACTTTAGAACTTTACAAACTAAATGAGATTTTTCCAACCCCATTAAATTCTTCTAACTATGCTTCAGTTAGTTACCTGTACCCAAATATGCTCAGTTTATAAATCAAACCACAATCTCTAAAAAAAATCAAGGATTGGGAGTTCTGAAAGCCAGGCTTTGTTCTTTCCTTATTCTTCAGCAACAATAAATTTCTAGAACCAGAACTTGGCTGGCATTTACTTCTTGTACATTACAGGACAAAATAAAATGCAGCTTTACTCTTTTGAAGCTCTATAACACTGACAATAGGAAAATCATTAGATAGGACTCAACAGCTTTCCACCCAGTCCAGGACAAGGAGGTGCAAGTGGCACAGCTCCAAAGGAGTTGCCAGAGTTACCTGAATAGTAGACCAGGGAGATGCCAGAGCTAGCCAGGAACACAGCAGTTCCTAGGCACGTCAAGCTTATTCTATGCTACAGTTTTAAGTTCTGGTCATCAGGACTGGTCATCTGGTCATCACCTCTTTATTTACAGATGTGATTATCAACTATGCAAGTTAGGGCAAGAAGTCATTTGCATACATTCTCCAGATTTCTGAGCCTTCAGTTTTAATAGGTGTGTTCTTGATGGACACTGCAATCCACATATTATAATTGTTCCATATCTATCATAGGTACAGACAGAAAGTAATTTTGAGAACACTGGCAGACAGCCCATACCATCCCAAGCAGTATTTTTACCAACATAGTTTCCCCTTTAGCTATATTAATTTGAAGTTTTTGGCACAATATTCAAAGATAGATTGTTCTGAAATTCTTTACCCATTTGCTTCATAAAAGTGTATCAAAAGCAGATGTTACAATGATTCATTCTGCCAGCCTAAGGTCAAATTATATATACGCAAATGACTAATTACAGAGAAAACAGGACAAAATATTCTATAATGTAACTCAATCACTACATTATACTGCAAATATAATTCCACTCTAAAAAAAATTAATCAAATAGCGTAACCCCCTTTTTCATGATACATGGTCTCTGGCATAGTTTTATATTGTACAGTTCCCAGTGTTTACATTTTATTGCTGTATTACATAACTAAAATATCCCAATAGCTTGCACTTCATACAGTGCTCTTTAGAGGACTTCAAAGCATTTTAAAAATGTTAAGGAATTCAGCATCGCAACACCCTGTGAGGTATTGCAGGTAAGTATTACTGCTCCCATTTTCCCGGTAGGTAAACCGAAACACAAAGAGTTAGGGAACTCACCCAGAGACCCACAGTGATTTAGTAGAAGAGCTGAAAGTAAAATCCCAGAGAACCAGCCTGGTTTTATACCACAAACCCTCCTCCTGCACTCAAATAGCTTTCCTGGTTCTTTTAGAGATTTTTAAATCAATTTTGCCTTTTGCTGGGATTTTTACTAGCAGGTCAGGCAGAATCTCCAGTGGATACTTCCTACCCTGTGTTTTGCATCAGCCAGACTTCCCAAATGCAGGAGAACTGACTCCCAGGAGCTTGGAGCTAGTTGTTTTCTAACAGTGGCATTTACCCACCTTCACATAATGAAGAGCAACACTTACCTTTGCAATTTGATCAAACTTCCCAAAGAGCTCATTCAGCATCACTACCAGCTCCTTCGGAGAGCAGTCGCTAGCCAGACGAGTGAATCCTACAATGTCTGCATACAGGATGCTGGACAAGGACACACTATTTAGTCACATTTTAATTATCTTTGTTTTCTAATACAAATATGGACATTTAATTGCATAGTGGTTCAATACTGAAGATCTCTAACAGAGCACCTCTCTCTCTCTTTGGAAATCAACTACAGAAGTGACCTAATGGCAATGTGTTTGGGTTTGTTTTTATTTAAGTTTAAAATACAACATGTTAGTCTAGGGCCGACAGTCTTCAAACAAGCTCATTTTTGCATGAAAACACATTAAAAAAACCTGACTTTAAACAGCCCAGTATGTGGATTTGGACAAGTAAAGAGGGTAATTAATTGGGGGGTTTTACCATTGCAATGAAAAAAAGAAATCCCAAATCTGGCAAAATAACTTCAAACCAGTTCTCTTCTCTCCTCTCACCTTGGCAGATGTGCTCAGAGCATCTGAACAAACTCTTCATTCAGCCTGTCTGATCCCAACCATGACACTTCTTACCATCAGTAAATAGACCAAGTATTAAAAGACAAGCATGTCTTAATGTAACCATTTGTCAAGTTTCTTTACTTACCTAACATTCTGGTGCCTTTTCACATACAGACTATGGAAGTTGTTATCATGCATTTGCCTATCGTCATTGGTTTCCTTCAGTCGCTCTATGATGGCTAGTTTCATTCCCATTGAGATATGAGCTGGCAGTATAGATAAAAGCAAGTTTTCCTAAGAAGAAAAAAAGATTTAATAATGTAAAGTTATTTGAAATGCCATGTTAGGAATCTCAGTGTTTTAGAAAATGATTGGGGGAAGATTAAAAAGAAGTCTCCTTATTCAGCAGTTTCTGATTGTTGCAGCTCCAGCTTTCAATAAAGGATTCTTTTTTCTGCTCTCACAATGAGAGTTATGAGTGTATGCATTATTTTTTAAAATATTACATGCACCTCAGTTTACCAGTTTGATATTATCCTCTCCGAAGGTAACAAAGGAGGCTGTTCAGGGGAAGCAAACAGCAACTAAAACAATGACAAAGGTAAAGCCTTAAGGGAAAAATGTGGGCAGCTATTAATTGGAGAATGCCCCTGCTTGGCTCCCTTCAGGTTAGCAAAGTTTACTCTTCCATCAACGGTTATTCTAAAATCTTAAAGATGCTGGCCTACACCGGAAGGAGGGTTGAGTGAGCCATCAACATGCTGACAGAGACACATACTGACAGAAAGAGACACAAACAGCAGCAAGCTGTCTGTTTTTCCTAACTCAGAGATGGAGGTAACTGGGCTAAATGGAGCTTACCAAAGCTAGCAAGGAAAAATTCAGGGTAAGTAAGGGGATATGCATGTATAGGTCTTTTTTGTTTTATACGTTTGTTCTGTATGCTTCGTACCTTTGGGTGAACAAATGCTTTGTTTTGAGGAAGCTGTTTCTGTGTCACTGCAAACTTATTCTGTCACAGGCTGTAGCGGGGTGGTCACCCGCTCCTGCCCTGAGGGGTTTAAAACAGCCCTGGAGGAGGGCTGTGGAAGGGCAAGACGCCTGGGCTGATTGGGAGGAAACCGGCTCAGCTGGGGCTATGCCCCAATCAGGGTCCAGCTGGCCCTATAAAGGCTTGAGCCAGGAACTCAAACAGACAGAGTCTCTCTCTAACTGGAGAGGGAGACAGGCCTGGCTGCTGGGGAACTCACCTGGGACCTAGAGTGAGGCAGGGCTGGAAAAAGGCCTTAGGAGCTGGGAAAGCCCTAGGCCATCAACTCCACAAGCTGCAAGGCCTAGTCTTAGGCCCACCTAGGTATTGGGCTTGCAGAGGGGCAGCCTGAGGGTGGGTAAAGGCAGCCAGTCCAAACCCCTTTGCCTATGATGAGTGGCTGAAACTGCAGTCTGCCCCAGTGAACGGGGGCTAGATGGAGACTGGGCAGTAGCCAAAACTGAGGCGAAGTGGGGATAGTGGGTGGGGAAACCCAGAGAAAGTGGGGTACTGCCAGGGGGGCAGCCCCAAGACAAGGGCACCGGGGTCCTGGGAGGGATACGGGGGCCAACGGCAAGCGGATCACTGGCCTGCAGAGGGTGCTCCTGGGTCAAAGAGCTAATTCCTGAGGATGACCAATAGAAGGTGCCACAGGGGTGAGTCTGCGCTGTGCTACACAGGCTTCTGGAGGAAGATGTCTTACAGGTACCGCTCACAGTTGGGCTTGTTTGGTGGCTGGCCCAGTAGCGTCCACTGGGCCAGAGTTGAAGCAAGAGTCGAGACTAGTTACCAAGCTGAGTCAGGAAATGGGTACCGACTTTCAAAGCAGTATGGGGCCCAAAGCAGGAGTCCGACTAGTTACCAAGCTGAGTCAGGAGTCAGGTGCTAAGGTCAAGCTGGGCCAGGGTAAAAGGCAGGAGTTGGGAGCACAATGGGGCAAAAGGAGAGGTCTTTAGCAGTAGGAAGCCGGAGTCTGCATTGTTGCTCAGATGATTCCTTAGGGCAGATTTCTTGTTTAAATAGTTGGTGTTGACCAATCAGGCAGCTGAAGGGTTCTGTTGCTCTTGTCTCTTCAGGCAGTACTTCCTGCTGTGCCTACCCTTGCAGTAATTTTTGGATGCTGCTCTGCCTGGCTCTCCAGTGGAGTCATCAGTTGCCCAGGACCCCACAACCCTGGAGTCTAGACCCGCAAATCCTTACACTGTTGGGTTAATACAGTTGGGAAGTGGGGCATAGGGGCTGCAGCCCAGAGATCCAGCCCCAGAGTGGTGGAACCACATGGCTCCGCCCAGAGTGAGATGCAGGAAGCCAGGCCTATCACCTGTGGCATACACTCGAGACAGACTAAACGGGGTCTAAAGCAGAGCTTGCCCAGTCAGTGTGAAACAAACATTCTTCTCTCCATTTTTTGCAGTCTCCCTCTTCTCAGCAGGCTTCCATCATCTTTTGATAGAAGGTCAAACTCAAAAGCTCACTCTGTAGAGGTAATAGACTTTAAAATATTCAAACCACCTGAATTCTGAGCGCATGATGTGAAGAATTTAATTGCCTTCCTTGCTAGAGGAAGCATTTGATTAATTCAAATACTGGAAAGGAGACTTTAAATAGAAAACTCTATTGCCAAAATGCTAATGCAACTTAAAAGAACCGAGTTACTCAAGGCTATTGAGGTAGATCCTTTTAATTTTGGCAAGAATGGAATCCTTTCCTCAGAAATTACTAATGTTGCTCGGCTAATGGGAGATCAATAAAGCTTTGTCCCATGTGCCCAAACACACACATGGTAATGAAATTACACCTCTGACCAGGGAAGAAGTGTCCATGGACAAGAATAAAAGAAAAGCAGGAGTATCAGTGCTTTCGAATCATCTGCTGTTTCCCTCAGAGAAATAAAACCAACAATACTCTGAAGAGCTTACCTGGAATAAAAAGGATCATAAGATCCTTCAAAGAATGAGCACACTCAGAATTGATCCAACATTCTTCTCCACAGACTGCAGAAATCCCTTTGCTGAAGCAATTAAAGGATGGATTTAAGTTAGCCTGCTTGGCCTGGTAGACCACGGTCGATAGCCAGGAATTCTTACCACACCCCATCACTTTGAAAATATAGTCGAATTTCAATAAAATATTGGATTTCCTTTTAAAAATGAGAAAATACAGCAGACGATGGAAAGCCACAGCAGCGTGAGTTTAGGAGGCTGACAAATGGTTCTAGGTACCAATCTGTAGCCTGTGCAGGGAGCAGGATTTTCTCTCTCTCATGTACAACATTGCATAATTAAGTTAATGTGTATGTCGTGAGTATGGGTGGGGGGAAAAGGTCGCCTTATTTCTGAAGCATCAAGAACTCCTCTTCCTCCTGCTGTGCAGGAGGATTAGACAGAAATATGGTTTGATCTTGTTATGGAGAAACCTACATTCCACTGCCTCCCCAAGGAAAAAGAAGGCAAAGTCTCCCTCCCCTTCCTTGGTATTTTAAGAGCCTTGAGGTTAATGAACAATTAGGGTGACAACAGAGCCCTGCTGAACATGACAGAATAGTTCTTTAGTGTGAGATAATGTGACTTTACTGGTCGGTGTTATTTGTTCAGAAATTAAATTGCCCTTCTCACATCTTCCTGGTTGGTGGGGAAAGGAAAATGGAAAGCTGGGAGTCTGACAAACAATATAGGTGGCAAGGAAAACCATATGTAGGCTGCAAGACAACTGGCTTTCAAGTAGGGCGCCAGGACAAAAAAAAAGAAGGAAAAATGCAAGTTACCATAGCAGGATCAGTCAAGGGGGTTACGGAAAGCTTGATACTAGTGCAAGCTGATTAGATGCTTCCCTAGCTGCTATCTGTGAAAAAAATTAGCATTTTTTTTTAAGCGTTTTGTCATCTCATCTGGTAAGACAGGCAATAGAGGGCAGACTGGACACTAGTAATGTGGTGTCATCTTCTTTCCAACCTTCTCCTTTTAGCTCACAATTTATGAGCCGAGATACACATGCAGCATTCTAGATCAGCAGTTCTCAATCTTTTCCATACTGGGACATTCCCTTCCACTTAGCAATATGGGAAAGGCAGGATAGTTGTGACCTCAAGATAACTGTCTGCAACTCCCAACAGGAAAACCCATGTTTCTAGATCATTTGTTCCCACAAGCATTTAAAGAAATACCCCTACAATTCAACCATTGCTATAAAATTTCAAAAGGTTTTTTTCTTCCCCCATCTGCAATTTCCAAACCCTCATTTTATCATGAAACACTGTTTGCAAAAAATACCACTCGGGTGTGTTTTGTTAAAAATGAGTCACCAGTGAGCCCTCTTTGGATCAATGTTTTCAGGATTGGCCTCACTGTATATGCAACAAACACAAAAACATTGTTTAGCAGCCTACAAGAGGGGAAAAGAAAGTGCACTATGTGAAAGACTAACAGTCCAGCAGTAATGGTCTTTGCTTGGTGAAGCAACCAGAGGAGACTGCAACAGCTGAATCTGGGTAAGTAAAATGGGCATGCAGAGGTAGGAACAAAAGAGCCTTTATAGCAGTTGATCAAGGTAGAAAAACACCAAACCCAGGTAGAAAATTTTTCTCTGCCTACCATGAGGGGTTGCCCCTGCTATTAGATCTTTACAATAACTAGCCATCAATACTAGCTTACGACTGAATTATACAAAATTACATCTTACGTCAGTACGAATGTCAAGGTTTCAGAGTGGTTAACGTTATTCACTTCTAACTATCAATGCCAAAGCAAGTAATTATTTGACACTTACAAAATGTTGTCAGTGTATTTATTTTATATAATACTGCAAAAATTTTATTTACTTGGTTGGCTACTTTAAAAATATATTTCTGTCTCCGCATTAGCAGAAGATGAACATCTTGCAAGTGCTCGTCCAGGAAAGAATAAGATTACAGAATTTCAAACATCCAACATGTGCATAAAGAAGGCAGGATTGTTGCTGAATTTAATTAAAAAGATTTCTCATCAATACACATCTGAAGACTAAGAATTACTTTTTTTCTGAAATTCCTGAGATTATTTTACATTTTACAATTTTAGGAAAATAGGTAAATGATTGATAATCAACTTCTGGTTTCCAATACTATGTCTAGTACTGTACAGATCTGTCATTTTTTCTAAGTTTTTTACTAAAACAAACCACACATAAAGGAGCTTTCTCCCTTTAATTTCTCTTCTCTATTGTCAATGGCACAGTTGTTTTTGACATTAGGTGGTTTTCATAGGAATTGGATCAAGCCTTTCAGTGTGCATTAGTCACAGACTTAGAAAAAAAGACACACATTACCCAAAAGAAAACACATAACTCATGTAATAGAGGCTTTTACTCACTTGTTGCCTCTTTTCAATCTTCAGTTTCATTCGGACTTGAATGCACTTTAAAGTGTATCTGTACAAATCCCATGAAGCATCTTGCATCCGATGCTTGTGAAATGCACCCATCAGGTTACCACAAAGAAAAATTACAGCATTGGCAAGTAACTGCAAGAGAAGAAAAATATTCAAAGTGCTGCAGAAGAGTTTGATTCATATTCTATATTGAAGTCACTTAAAATGTTTTTTGTCTGGAACATAAGAAAAAGCTCAAGTTTTCCCCATCCTTTCACACAAGCAAACCACCACCAAACTTTGGGTCAACTTGTGTGTGTTAAACAGACGCTAACTCAATAACATGCGTGCTTCTATTTAACTCACTCATGTTAGTCCATTAAAACGCAAGAGGGATTCAGTCACATAAATTAAGGCCCATGTTTGCAGACATGTGCCTGCCATTGAGGCACGTGTTCCCAATATGATGAAACTGCGAAAAAGGCATATCTGATCCTAGGATGTGTCAGGCAAGGCATTTCCAGTAGAGAGAGAGGTATTTAATGCCGTTGTACAAGGCACTGATAAGACTTCATTTAGAATACTAGAATGTGTACAATTCTGATCACCCATGTTAAAGGCTCGACAAATGCAGAGAAGAACTCCTAGGATGGTCAGGGGAATGGAGGGCCTATTTTATCAGAGGAGACTGGAAGACTATAGCTTCTTTAACTTCACAAAAAAGATGGCTAACAGGTGGGTATGATTACTCTCTCTAAGTACATCACAGGGGTAACCACCAGGGAGGGCGAAGAGCTATTTAAACCAAAGGGCAAAGTTAGCAGAGAAGCAAACAAGTATAAATTGACCAGGAACAAATTCAGGCTGGAAATAGAAGGTTTCTAATCATCAGAGGTTCTGGAACAGCTTGGGAGCTAACTTCATTGTTGTGAGAGAGCTGGACAAATTTTTGAGTGCAACTGTAGGGCAGGGTTGCTCGGAATAGTAGGGGTCAGGCAGCCCTAGGGATCACTTCTATGTTATATCTTATATTCCTAAAAGCTCATGCTTCAAGTTTTCAGCTAACCACTGGAAGGATCAGGCACGGATTTCCCTATACCCACAATGCACTCTGGGGGGGGGGGTTGTCTCTTTCCTCTAAAGCATCAACAATGGCCCTGACTGGGGATGGGATATCAGTCAGAGCGAGCCCGGGCTCCAAGGTGGCACTGGGCATTCTCTCTCTCAGCTGCATGGCTGGCTGGTTCCTGCTCACATGCTCACTGTTCACCACATGTGGGATTAGGAAGGAATTTCCCCGAGGTCGGACGGGCAGTAGTAACCTTGCAGCATCTTGGTCTTCCCCTGTATTGTGGGGGTGCAGGTCACTTGCCAGCATGATCTGGGTGTATCTCAATCATTTCCCTGGCACTGCAGGGCTCTCAGTGCACCTCAGTCACTCCTATTCTCTCCCTGTGGCACATACTAGTTTAAGTCTCCTGCGGGCTGTAATACTTTGGTCTCATTTCAGTTGCTGGGTTTAGTGTGCAAGTGCTGGGTAGTGCTTGTGACCTGTGATATACAAGAGGTCAGACTAGATCGGGGTGGGCAAACTGCAGCCTGCGAGCCATTTTAAGCTGGCCTGTGAGCTCCTGCTGGGTCGGGGGCTGCACCACACGGCTCAGCCCCACTCCGGTGCTCCAGCCGGGGCGCAGAGTCGAGGCCGCACCACGCGGCTCCTGGAAGTCGCAGCTAGGGTGACCAGATCACAGGGATGAAATATCGGGACGCAGGGAGGGGCGGAGGGGGGGCGGAGCAAAAAAAAATGGCGGCGGAGAAAAA